TAGTTTGTGTTCATTATGTGTTAGTTTGTGTTCATTATGTGTTAGTTCTATTTCGAATACCATACCATACCATACCTTACCATACCACTTTATTTATAAAGCACTTAAAACAGCTACAAGGCCAACCAAAGTGCTGTACAGACAAAACAACAGGTAACACACAAAGCAAAATACAAAATGATTTAAATCAGAATATAGACAAAAAAAAAACGATGTATAGGCTTCCCCCTTTAAGACTGTCGCTAGTGGGGTTTATCCCTAGGCGCTCAGCGCAGCACTAAAAACTTTAGTCCACTCCCACCTGCTGTGTGTGGGCCTCACCCCCGGTCAATATAAATTACAGTGAGACCAGGTAATTGGCTCCAATTTTTTATTCAGTCAGCTAGCTAGCACTGTCTGAAGAACGAAGAAGGAAAAGTTGTCCAGCTTTGACCAGCACAACCTTTGCTAAGGATGCCTGGGTCTCCGCCATGCCAACCTCCTGCCGTCCCGGTGAGCTCTTCCTCCCTGAGGAGAAGCAGAGACGAGCAGCCTTGTTCAAGGTAAGCGCCGAGGAGTGCTTTTCTGTGGCGGGCTGCTACCTGCTGTACGACGCCACTGCATTTTCTAACGTGTTTTTTCCTCGCAGTAGTCGAACGATTTCCTCGAAAAAGACGATGTTAGCAGCAGCCCCACTCAACGTTTTTCCGTGGAGGGCCGCTACTCGCTGGACGACGTCACCGCCTTTTCTAACGTGTAAACTCAGCCACCTCGGCTCTTCCCACGTCTGCGACCACACCGCTCCCAGCCGTCGGCACCCTCCTCTCGGAGCTGCCTGGCATAATCCAGGAGGATGTAAACACAAGGGACTTTCCGTCCCTCGCCTCCCTCTGCCCTGATCGGATGATCTGGCGGCAAGGTTGGCTCCACTCCAGCTCGTCGCCCTGACCCTATCTGGCCTCACTGTCCAGCTGTGACGTCACACTGGAACGAGGCTGCAGCTGGGCCCGACAAGTTGAAGACATCCATCTCCACCGTCGCCTCCATCTCCACCTGGATGACCATGATCCAGAGGAACACTTGGCTCCACCTCTCACCATCTTTGTCCGAGAGGCTGCAGAAAGACCTGCTGGAGGGCCCCATCACCCCAGAGGCGCTGTTAGGGGCCAACTTCAGGACCATCCTTGAGAAATCGCAGAGGTCCGAGGAGGTCTCAGAGACTGTACACCATCTGGTGACATCACAGTCCATCTGCCCCTCCGGCCGCTGGAGGGACCGCCTTGGCCAGCAACAGCACCAGAGGGGCTCCACAGCTGCGGCAGCGACTTCACGCCCCGCTACTCCACCAGCTACCTCCACCAGGTAACAGATCCTTGAGGGGAAGGTATGTGATTTTTGATGATGTATGTTTTTGATATAAAACAGAAACACCTCTGAAAGTAAAGTTTTTCATCCGAGACTGTCAGATCAGCTGATCTCTCAGCTGCTTCTTTTCACACATTCCCCACACAGAACGAGCCAGTAACCTCTAAACAGCGTTTTAAATGGCACCGCAGTTCAGTAAATATCACAAAACACTCGTCTGCCACATCAGCTAAAATTATATTTTTTTCAGAAGACCGAGTCTGGTAAAATCCCTCGTTTTCAGCCAGAGCCCGTTTTAATTTCTGCTGTTTTCTACCCACTCACAGCGCAGCGAGAGTAAACGTGTTTCTCCATGACACCTGCAGCCTCCACCGAAACGGCGTTTCACTCAGAAAGCGCTCACGCCTCCTCTTAGTGTGCGCCGGCTCACCTCTGCTTTATGTGAGACCGCAGCCTGGGCTCAGCACAGAGGCACACATACAGCCCTTTTTTCTGTCAGAGCCCTGCTTGGGCTTCCCCGAAGAATCTCCGGAGCGAGTGATGGCAGTAAGGATTTTTAGTCTGATTGACTTTCATGAGAAACATGACACAACACAAATGTGTGCCCGCTCTCCGAGCGCTACTCAGAGTGGCAGCGAGCGTGTTCCCTGGACAGATGGACGGACCGTCTGATCAGAAGGGGTTACACGCTGCAGTTCGCAGCTCAACCCCCACCGTTCAGAGAAGTTCTGGGATTTCTGACAAAAAAACATGATTTCCAGAGTTCCCAACGGAGAGGAAAATACGGAGGGGGGGGGGGGTGTTCCTCCCACTACTTCCTGGTTCTGATAAAAAACCGGAGGGATGAGATCCATTCTCGACCTGTTCATGTTCAGCAATTCGATCATGGGGAGACAATTCCACATGATGACAAACAGCTGCTGGAGAACTTCACCAGAACA